CGCGGCGGCGAGGTGACCCCGCTGCGTGCGCCTCCCTCCACCCAGACAGGCCCAGCTGGCTACAGGGCAGCGTGGTGCGCCACGGGACTTTGTGATTAATCAGCGCGACCCAGAGGCTACCGTGGGGCGTCCTGGATTGTCCCGTATGCGTGCAAGTGTGCGCGCGTGCGTGAGCACGTGTGTGAACGATGCACTGTAGAAGAGTGATTTCAAGGATTGTTTCCCACAGGCAAGACAGTGTCTAGTTACAAGTCCTTGAAAGTCCCTAGAAGCCCATGACCCACACCCTGAAGTAGAGGGTGTAGGGTCTGGACTAGTGGAGTAGGCTGCTCAGATCCCAGGAGGGTGACCCCAGGCCCTGGACTCTTGTTGTGGATGCTGTTTATTGTGTGATGCGTGTGTGAGGTGTGTACCTGGGTGAGTGTGTTTGATGTGCGATGGGAGTGGTATGGTGTGCGAGGTTGTGGTGTGATGCATGCCTATGTCACTCTTCTTCATGTTCACCTTGCAGAGACAACACCCATCTTTTGCAATGACGCAGGAGCTGGAGATTCTCCACCGCCTGATACAGGCCTAAACCATGAGATAGTGACTTCGGTTATATTTTCTGTAGCTGTATTGATGGGATTTGACCTTGAAGCCTTCTCTTGCCTAGCAGGGGTCTGGTGGGGGCCAGTGACAGGTCACATCGGTTGGGATTCAGCAGGAAAGAAGGAAGTGCTGGACAGAGGGCCCTTATGGAAAGAGAACAGAAAGCAGGCAGGTGAACTCCGACTGGGGTTGCCCAGGTGAGCCCTTCCACATCAGGTTTGTGATCAGAAAGTGGAGATAAGAATGGTCCCAGCAACTTCCTGCAAGTTACTATACTATCAGATGTGGGCTCTCTCCTCAGCCCTCAGGTTCTTATAGGTGGGAAATACTTCTCTTTTCTCTTAATTACATCTGCTATCTTAAACGGAAACAAAGGAAATTTCTTCTTATTTGGAAAAAAAAAATCTAATTATTTGCTGATCTGCAGCCGGATTTATACAGTTGAACAATTCAAGTCCCGCAGAACTCCTGCCAGAATAACTCAGGTAGCCAGAAGTCTAGTCCTGCCCATCTGTTCCCACGTGAGTCCATGTGCATGCATGTGCCTGGCTGCAGCTCTGTGGGCGGAGCCTAGGTGCCCATCCTGTTCGACTGGTGGGACCGGTCTCCTTCCTCCATCCAGATGCCTTGGAGACTGCTCACCCCACTGGCATATTTAGAGGCTTGTAACAAACTGCAAACTAACCACCATCCCTAGTCTGGAATTTGTCACGCTTCCATTTGCTTCTACAAAGAGGGTGTCAACATGCAGACATGCATTGCTTCCAGAAGTGAACCACAGGGAAACAAGGAATGATGTAGCTTACAGAGGACAATGCGGGTGGCCCAGACATGTAACAAGCACTGACACCTCTCCAGGATCTAGGACAAAGACCAGGCTCTGTTTGTTTCCATCCTAGTCTAACGACTCTAGTGGCACCCCATCCCACTTGTCCACTGCACCTGTCCTCTCCTACACCCATCTCACTTCAACCCAAAAAGTGAGACTGCAGCTCTGTCTAGGAGAGGCTCCTTACCAACCCTCCAATGACCGGGATTCTCTGTCACGTTCTGCATTGTGATGAATTACTTTTAATCACTCTTAAACAGAAACTGTGGCAGCAGTGCACTCTGCTTGAGCTTGAGCTTCTGGGTTCACCTGAGCTTTTGTAAGCAGGTGGTACAGGAGCATGGGAGAAGAGTAGGAGCCCGTGGTGCTGCCTGGTGCCCCCAAGCCCAGCTCTCACCTGTGATAGCTTGGTAGTAGCCACTGAAGGAACAGCTCCCAGCTGTTCATCCTGCAGGAGCCCCAGGAGCAGTTACCCAGAGTACTCGGGAGGGCAGTGCTCTGATGATCTTGGACCCAGAGACTCCGTGTGCTGGGTCTCCAGGTGACCCGGGAGAAACAGCAGAAACCAGACTCTGAATCTCCCTCAGCTTCCCCGTCCCTGGTTCCCAGGGCAGGAGCAAAGGCTTCATTGTCGTGTTTTTCACTTTTCCGGCAGGAGCTGCCTTGGCTGTCTCTGTCTGCGTGCTGGATGCTTTACCGAGTCTCCCGTCTAAGGGCAGTTTCCTTATCTGTGCATCAAGGTTGATGTGTTTCATTGTCTCCCCAGCAAGCCCAGGACCTGTGATCATGTGGTATATTCAGAATTAGTAAATATGACTAGCGTGATGTGTTTCACCTCTCTGGACCCAAATCATAGTTATTCATATGAGAAATTATTAATTATTTTCAAGTCAGACTTTCTTGTAGGGTTTTAAAAGTACTTCCAAAAAAACAGGATTTTGGTTAAATTTCCAATATCTTAAATTGCTAGAGGGAGAAAGGAAAGGTGGGGTCCAGAGGTCACAGGTGTCTCCAGTATGGTGGGAAGTGTCCTCCTGCCCCTGCAGGGCTCACGGTATTGTACTGCTTCAGGTATCAAGTTGAGTCCCAGTACTCTGACAGACCCAAGAGGCTGGTGATGGCCTCTTCGCAGGCTCCTGAGGGGCCAGCTGTGAGCACAGGGCTACCCTGCTTGGCACCTGACCTGCTGAGAATTCCCTCCTAGCAAACAGCTTTTCACACCTGGCTAGGTGCCGTAGGCTGTGACCTGGGGAGGTGGCCAGGAGTGTGCCATCTGACCACTCTTCTGCAGGGTCCCTGCAGGGAGTCAGAGCCAGTCAGAGCCACCCTGGGCCAAACCAGGCCTCCCCTCCACCATGGCACCCCTGGGTTTCTTCTCCCAGTCATTAGCACGACTCAGAGGGTCCTGGTTCACAGCACCTCCCCTGGGAGGAGAGCAGTGGTCCAGCAGTACAGGAATGGGGCGGCACACCAAGGAGCTGTGCCCACAGTGAGGGCGGAGACCACACTCCACACCTCAGCCCTTTGCAGTGGTCTTTGCAACAGAAATTGTAGCACCACCTGCCAGGATGTCATTCTCCACCCACACTATCCCCACAGACGAACCAGTATACAAAAGTCTGAGTGTGTACACTAATTGATCATCGACTGCTGTCAGATAGGATGAGGCGCTAGACTTAGAGGACTCAAATTTCATGCCAACACTGGAAGGTTGACATCATTCCATTTTAAAACCGAGGAAGCTAATTTCAAGCAAGAAAGTGGCTGAGCCAGGTTGGACCTGTGTGAGCACCGACCCAAAGCCACATTCTTCCCATTTCCTTTTGTAAAGGTAGAATCAAACAAGTGAAGAGGTCCCATTTCTCACAACGATTGGCAGAGTTTTGCCTAAAGGAGACAAATCTCCTTTTCTGTTCTGGAGTCAAGGCAACATGGACAGTCTCAATCAGAGGGGAAGGAGGATCAGAAGATCATTCAGGAATCGACTCCAGGGGCAGATGTAGAGCTCCCGTGTATTCCAAGGCTTCTGGGGAAGGCACAGATGAATGCGCTCCCATGCCTGCCATGGAGAGCGCTGAGGAGTCAGATGACCATCCTGTAGTGGTCAGCAGCCAGGAAACAGTAACCAAGATGTGCCTCAGAGATCCAAGCCCAGCAAGGACCTCGGGGAGCCCAAGTCACTCAGGCGTCCAGGGAGTGTCGTGGCAGCATCCAAGTGGGACCTGAGGTTTGCTACCCAGGGACTCAGCCCGCTAGCCTGCCACTACCCCAGCGGGGAGCGTGAAGCCACGAGAGCTGGAGCAGCTATCTCTGCCGGAGGCTCAGGTAAGTTTCTTGTGACACTCACTGACCGAGAGCGATTGCTCGGACAGTTGGCCAGGAGCATCCTTATGAGGGGAAATATTTAACCAGATTTAAAAATGCTTTACCAAGGTCCATCACCTCTCCTCTGCATTTTTTCCTGGCCCCTCCCTTTACCGACACTGGAATCCCTCCGAGAGGACTCAGCCTGGGGGAACTGAGGTGTCTATTTGGAAATGGAGCAAGTAGGGATTATCAGGTGACAGTGGGACCTGGCAGGAGGGCATACAGGAAGAGAGAGGCAAGCTCTGCATTGCTCTTTGCGGTGGGATGGTCTGCACAGAGGTCCAGTCAGGGACTACTGAGGCAGGGCCTCCCTTGCTGGGGACAAAGCCTGTCTATTCCATGGTTCCCCAAGTAGTCCAGTAAGACAGAGTGAACAATTCGTCTGGGCCAGATAATCCGAATGCTTCTGTTTGCCTAGCACTTGCACTAATCCCAATACCCAGAAAGAGGCTGGAATTCCCACCCCGCTGAGGGATGGTGGCGTGGAAGCTTGGAGACGCTGAGCAAATCATCCAGGAATGTGGCTTGGGGCAGAGCTGGGCCTGGAATCCAGGTGTCCCCTGCATGGTCCTTCATGCCACGCCTACAGCAGTCTGCATGACGCTTGTGCAACTAGAGGAGAGGGTTCTTACGTGCACTCACACAGATTTATGGCACTGTCTCGCTTTCCCCAGTGCTGAGGAGTGAGCAGGGGTGACTGTGTCCGTG